TTGATTGATTGATTGGTTGGGTGATTGATTGATTGATTGATTGATTGATTGATTGATTGATTGATTGGTGGGGGAGGGGTCCTCCCTCCCCTCCCAGGCACACACACACACATACATGTGTAGTAGTGAATATTTCAACGTTCTAGTCGGAGATTCGATCGATTTTGTAAGTTCAGGTGGTCAGACTTAAAGCCTCGCACATGCTGGAACCCGAAGGTTATAACTTGGCTATATTCTATTATTATTTTATTTAAGAACAGGCTAGTCGGACTATTCTATAAGTTTAGGTAGTCTGACTATAGCTTATCATAACCTGAAGAGAGTATAATTAACCCGATGGTAAGATGAGGCAGGCTGAACTTAAGATTAGTTCAGTCCTATGCAGCCTTAGAAGACAAAGGGAAGACATATATATATATATATATATAACTTGTAAATTTTAAGCAGTTCAGGGCGACTGGAATGGTCTAGTCATATCGCCCAAAGAAGAGAGAAATAGTTGTGCCCTCTGTTTTGTGTATATCTTTTGGCTAATTAGGCTCATTCCATAAGTTTAGGTGGTCCGACTCTATCCGTGGCTAAGTAAGGCGTTGTCGTAGCGCGCGGCCCGGACGAGGTCCCAGGCGTCGGACCTTCACGGCTGTGTCACGCAGGAATTTGCTTCTCCTCTACCGCTTAGTGTTAATCCACTCCGGCCGTGAGCGCCAGTCACGCTCCTCACGGGGTCTAGCGACAGGTCTCGACTCTGCAGGAGAACAACTTTGCTTCTACCTGAGGGTTGTTACCACCCTTAGGTAGGTGTATCCCTGCTGAGCTACCGACCCACTTGTAGTGGCTTTTAATATGTCGTGTCAGAGGTGGACCGGCCGAGGGTTTTTCTTTTCGTTGCAGCACAGGGATATTCTTGGTAAAACAGAATTTCTGGTCCCATAACCGTCAAGTACTAGCTAAACTCATTCAAGATGCTTATGTAATCAGCCTATTGACGAGGAGTCAATATGACGAAACGATATGAGGCTTTCCTTGAGTTGGGGTACCTGCGATGGATCAAAAAGAATTCGTGTATGTACTACGATGTGCAACCCTCATAAAAAAAAAAATATGGGGTTCCGTCAGTACTTAGTGGAAAGCTCAGTGAATCCTAACACTGGCTAATGTTTTCCGAACAGACTACCCCTCCTACCTCTCGCTGATAATAAGGGGTGCTTTCCAAGTGGTAGGGGTTTCCTGGACTCCCGTGGTGGACGACAGTTCCTCTATCACGAACCTCAGCGTCCAACCAAATAAAATCAAAGAGGACTCTAATCCCTTCTATAACCTTGCTGAGACCCTATCCTCTGAATCAAGCATCTGACGATTCACCTCTGGCTACTCTGTAACTTTAGATATAAATATGAGTATGTAAGGGGGTAATTGCAGGTGAACAGGGCCACATTCTCACAGTTATGTGTGTCAAAATGATATGCACGTACCACTCTCAAATCCAAAGTCCAGAAAACAGACAATTCCCGAATACAAATACCTGCACAAATGCAGAACGAGGCACACATACCATGCACTAAATGCAATCAACTTATGTTCTCCATGCATGTCCCACATTCCCCAAACCCTCTCTCAGCATTCCTTCCTAATCTCGTTACATATTCTTGCCCAGCCCCTCACTACACACAGATGACCATCAAGAGTGATTTGGACTATTTAGCCATGATAATACAAGGGAAGCTTTGCCTGCCTACAGGGGTTCGCCTTTAGGAATGGGTATCAAGTCGAAGGATAGTTGAATCGGTAAAACCGACCTCTCTTTCAAGGTGAAAATATGCAAAAATGCAGTGGATGCAAGGACTTTTATCAAGTCCCTTTTTCTTATACAACTTTTCGGCTTCCACGACCTGCACACACAGGCCACAAGTTTTAACATCCTTTCCTTTCCTCTCTATGTCTCTTAACTCTCCCTTTCTGGAGAGTAATCCGTACAAATCTATCCGTCTTTATTTTGAATGAACTTCTATCATCTATCTAATTTTAATCTTTCCTGATGTCTCTCTTCTAGGCCATGTACGTTGCTTGCCTAACGCAATTCTTTCCGAAGGGTATCCCTCTCGGAATTCATTTTCGCGTGGTCACACCCTATGTGTATTTATGTCATTGTTTCGTCCCCTTTTCAGTCTTATTATCCGATCTTTCATACCTTTAGTATCCTGCATAACTAGTTCGAAAGATAATCATCCATAGTCAACCCAGGCGGAAGTTCCCTGTCCCTCTGCCCAATTACTTGGCAGCCCATCACTCAAGGTGATTGGACAACTTTTCTTGACCCTTTATATAGTCATTCATTAATATAATACTAGGATGACACCTTATCCAGCCATGTAATCAAACACGATGCATGAAAAGGTTGGATGGACACTCCTTGGCCCTCTATTTAATCATCTTATACTGAAGAGTAAGAACAACAGGTTTACAAATATACAAGAAGCAACTGAACGGACACACCTTGGCCCTCTATCCAGTTACTTAACAGAACATTACATGAAGTGATCAGACGGACACACCTTGGCCCTCTATCTGATCACCTCGTACGGAAAACAAGAACAAGATACTTCATAGATAACAAAAAGCCAACTGGACGGACACACCTTGGCCCTCTATCCAGTCACTAACTGAACAACATATGAAGTGGTCGGACGGGCACTCCTTGGCCCTCTATCCAATCACCTCGCACAGGGAATAGGAACAACATACGTTTATAGATACACATGAAATAACTGGACGGACACACCTTGGCCCTCTATCCAGTTACTTAACTGAACACTACAAGAAGTAATCTGACGGGCACTCCTTGACCCTCTATCCAATCACCTCGCACAGAGAATAGAAACAACATA